TAGAATAAGAAAAAGAAAACAACCTGTTGAGGCGTGGATGATATACTTCCTGTCTGAAAATAGGCAGGAACTATATTCTGATTCATCTTATTGTTTGAGTACTCCACTTCAACTAAACGTTCCGTGGTTGCGGCTTGTTGTTGAGTACGACTCCGTAAGAAAACAATGGTGAATGCGATTACTCTGAAATATTTTCATGATTCACTTTTATTTAACGTTTTCTCGTTCGTTCGAAACTATCATCAAAACCGTTATGTGCACACGATTCATCGCCGAAATCAACCATTCTCTTACATATTCCATTTCACCTCACATATTTCTCGCAAATAATGCAATACTCAGAATGCTTCTTACCAAAAGGATAACTTCTAAATATTTTTAGTAGATTTCAATACGTCAAGTATCAAAAGCAAAACTCATTTCTCATCAAAACAATCACAAAAACATAAAATTCTCCACGATTTCAACCAGCTTACACAGCGAACCTAATGCAAAAAGAAAAATAACAAAAACAAATAAAATTAATGATAATAAATTCAGATAACACTTTTAAATGACCGTTTTGAATACGGTTCTTTCAAACACAAAACAATTGTAAATAAATGAATTTAGAATTGTCCTTTAATCATCAAACAAATTACGTTTCAGATAATCGAAACACAAATGAGGCTGCAAATGTATTGAAAAGAAAACGATAAGATAATCAACTTCAAAATGGCAAGAAGACTGAATGAAAATCTTTGCAGTAGATGAAAATGAATGATTTCATTCAAACTAAAGTGAGCACTGTAATCAATGGCTAAATGAAGCCATTCATTTCACAATTTCCTACCCATCCAATATTAAATAATTAGGTGAAGCATTTTAAATGATACACAAACGAAATGAATCGAACAATGACCGGGAATAATACATATTTCGCAAAAAAAGATGCCGACAAGATTGAATAACTTAACGAAATGTTAATAACAATGCAAAAAATACGAAAACAACATTGTCACAGAAAGACTAAACAATGCTCCACTTAAGCATGTCACTATATACAATTGAGCAATCGCATATAAATTTCTAAACAAATAAAAATGTGCAACATTAAAAACACAAATGCATATTAAAGACCTAAATAGAAAATAACTTTAATTTTTCCGAGAGATGAAATCTGCTCGTAGAATGATTTGATAACACTCAATTAGAACAACATTCATTGATGTCGCATAAGTAATCGGGCATGAGATTCACATTCGACGATGAATGAAATAACGATTCATAATAAAATTGAAAGAATTATCTGGACGGAACAAAGACAAACTACCGCAAGCCAAATAAAATCCTGTTTATTTACGATAAAGACTTTATGGAATCAGAAGCAGAGCTCATGACGAAGAATTAAAAAAATAAAAGCGCGTCTATAGGTTAGAGCTGACACCGAAGTTTTCTCACTATTCACAACCAAATTAGGAAATTTTTTGAACATTTTTTTTGCTGATGCGCTTGTTCTTCGTAAATTATGCATCACAATTATTTTGGATGCAATTCATCAAACATGAGCTTTTCCGTTCAAATCAATTGAGATCAAATTTAATTCATCGAAGTGAACAGAAGAGAACTGATTACGTAAATCACTACTAAAGAGTAAACTCCCCAAAACAGTAAAAATTCCTCACTAAATTCTCAGAATTACTTCAACTTCTAAGCCTCTCGCTGCGGACTGTTCAGCTGATCGGCTCAGATGACTGTTGGTCTGGTGCTGTTGCTGTCGTTGTCGTGATATTATCGCTCGACGGCTGCATCGAACAGAAACGACCACAACGTGAATCGTTACGTTGTGTTAAGAACGAAAAGAATTTCGCTTGTTCAACAACCATCGCTCTCAAGATTTCCAACGGCACCTCACCACCGCACATTTCCTTTTCATTTTCAATCATTTTCTCGATAATAATTCGATACTTTTCAAATCTCCTCTGCAATATCATCCGTTCTTTACGCTCATCATTCAGTTGCGGCCATCCATATCTGGTAGCATCCTCGATACTGATCGCATGTTTTCGTTGCTTCAACAATCGACTTTTCTTTGCTTCTGCATCACTTTTATTATCAGCCGTCATACGATTTTTCATCTTCAGTAACCTCGAACGTGTTCTTGCGATTCGTTTACGTTCTGCGTCAATCGCACGGATGAATGCCAGCTTGTCCGGCGGTAAAACACTTCTGGATCGCGGTGCGCGTCTTCGTGCTTTCTTCACTGACTGCTCTTCATTGCTTTTATCGGTCATCAGTTCGCCTTTGCTATTATCCGCCTTTGTTGCATCATTCGCTACCTTATCTTTCAGCTGCTCATTCGCATCGCTTCCATGTCCAAACAAATTCATGCGTTCACTTCCGTTAACTTCACTGTTGTTCGATTGCAATTTTAGTTCATCGTTTAAATTACCATTTAAAATACGTGAAAGATCGTCATTATTATAATCAGCAGCAACATTGATAACCTCGAAACCAGATATTTTTGTTAAAATCAACGGAGCATTATTTGAATCTCCACCACATCCGTTTGGTGCTGTAGCAAGGTCGTTGTAAACTGCGTTGCTGGGCTGCGCTGGTAAGGATGGCAAACTGACATTAGGATCATTATAATAATAATAGATATTATCGTTATAAATACTACCACTGAGATTTGAATTCTGATTATTCTTCTGATCAACATCCTTCGTTTGTTCAGCTGTCAGTGTCTGTTTGATAAGGTATTCTTGAACGCTCAATGAATTCGCTTTTCTATCATCCTCTACTTCATATCCATTTTCAGAGCGATTACTGCCGTTACTTACATTCATCGCCAACGTTTTCATACTCCATTCATTACTGTTATCATTGGTGGACGTCTTTGACTGCTTGTTACTGAATGACTGATTGTACGCATTCTCATTTGGGTGTAGCAATTGTGAGCAATCGCCATTTATTGCGTTCATCTGCTTCCTCACTCTGGTCAGTCGTTTCCTCTCCTTATCCCTTTCACGTACCTAAAATTAAAACAGATCTGCCTCATGCTTAACCTTAACGTTATTCACTCACCTTGGCCAATACATCAGGAGGTAGATCAGCACGTCTTCTACAACGCCGATTCGGAGATATTAATTTATCAATATTCATTGATACATTATTTTTGTCACTTACTAAAACACCATCCGATGATAATTCTTCACACATACCAATATTTTTTGTTTGATGCGCGTTAGCTTCTGAAAGGTTATCACGCTACTTACTAAGAATTATTATTGATGAAGATCATTAAGTATTATTCCAGAAAGCATTAAAAAAGAAACAAACATTGTAAATAATTACGATTTGAAGGTTCGCTGCTGCCAGATTGTAGAGGTGAATTCACCGGTATTACGCCTCCTTCCAATAGATGTGTATTTGATGAAAATTCCATCATTACTCCTAAACGGACTAATTCACAGTCAATACCAGCGGTTTGATAAAGGCTCGCCAACTCTTCCCCACCATTGGCTCCAGATAACAGTTTTCCTTCGCTATGACCGTAAATACATATACATATCAAGAACGGCAATAAAAAGTACTGCAAAGATATTCAGATAATGACATTCACATAAGACGTTACTTCAGTGTTAACAAATTAAGGCAACAACTTCAATGTATCATTTTATCGCTAAAGATACCGACACAATAACATTACAATATGTTCCAACATATGAACACTCGACAGCGTAAACTACCGCAACGACGACAGCACTTAAACCAATTTCACCATCTCAAACATGGCAATTCAGATAGACGTCCTTATAGGCAGCTGTTTTCTGAAATTGAAATTGTTAAGTTCTCGTCCAATTCGGAAAGAACATGTGCAGTTTCTATTGAATGTTGTTATCTTCATGTACTCGCACTAACTGCAACCCATATCAAGCAATTTTACATTCATTATCAAAACCACCTACCATGTAGTCAAAATTGAGCAGTTTCATATTTGAAAACGAAAAATTCGCGCTTAGTCAGACTAGCAGGACACTCCTATGTACATGCTGCGAACGCGAACACGAACGCAACGAGTAATGAAAAAACCCAACAATGGAGCTCGAGATAGGGATCACCACACCCGATCTTTTTCTTCGGTTTCATGCACACGCTCTCAACATATTCGGTTTCGGCGATTCCGTCTATTTTCCATATTGCTTGATGTGAAGTTCAACAGTGGGCTCCTCTCCTACTAAGCAACAGACACGCTGACCCATATGAGATATGCTATTATCACGATATTTTCCTTTCAATGTGTCAGATATTTGTTACGAGATAACCCATCGAAACGTCGTTCCCAATTCAAAGCACTGCTTATCTCGTAACGCTATTTATAAAATATCCTTCCAGCACTGAACACTCAAAATATATCGCATTGCCCATAAATCAGCATAAATCGCTACTTGAATCAGCACAGTGCGACAATCGCCCGTTCGTAGCGTTCGCAGCCAATCGAAAATTTACTCGTGGCTGGTCAAAATCAAAAGGTGAACTTGCGAGAAATGAAATTCAATGTGAATGACCCGTTTTTTGTCAGTTTAACGAATGCTGCCTGCATATGATTATGAATGTAATTGCGACAAGTGAATAACACACCTGTGAAATGCATGATAGTCTCTCTCTATGCGGCGGCTTTATCGAAACCTTGTGTTCACGGGTGCGTCTCTTTCGATTCACTAGATATCCTTACTCATTACTATGAGTTCCGATGACACTGTTACTATTTCAGGATGAACACTAGATCGCCTCAGTTCGGATTCCCAATCTGAAATTAAGTGTAGGATTGAAACTACAAAGATTATGATGAATGATAACAATTGTTCATTTACAGCTTCTCAACCACTCCAAAACTGCTTCATGATGAAATTTTACTCGTTTACTTCTTCGAATTCTAGAAAACTACATATCGGCTAGAGGTATGATTGCGGCCAATATTGAAAGTGATAATAACCAAACTCATCAGTGGTCACCACTTCCTTTATCACTGTCATTACTCCCTTCAAATAATAACATGCAGCTAATACAATTCCTCTCTGTTGCACTTTTATTCGAAGTGAGCTTATTTCCTCGCCTTCATCGAATCAAATTGCAAACTATTGAATTTGATACGTCAACTGATCAGCCGATCGGGGAAATGCAAAAGTTATGTAACGAAAGGAATACTCTTGAATGAAGAACCTTCTCCCATAGGAAACTTCTTTTTATGAATCATTTTTTATTGATTTTTATATCCCACACTTCTTGTATTGTGTTTTCATTTTCCACGTTAAACACTCTTCCATAAAAAAAATCAAAAACTTCGCCAAGGGAAAGAATTTATGAGTGACACTTTCAACATAATTTCAATTCGATTCTTACAATTATACATTCAATTCGTAATTGAAATTGATCAGCATTATTCACGAGCAAAACATAATATCCCAGTTTTGAGATAGCATCTTCAAATAAAAGCCTTTCATGTTCGCTTTCACATATGTACGATCTTGAATTCTGATCTCGCTGGTAGAGAAACAGGTTGAATGACTGATCAATTTTCTGAATGACTCTAATGACTTTCTGCTAAATCTTGAGCAAAGTATTCTTAGCGATTGGAGTGATTGAAAACTTTTCTTCATAGCGACATCATTCAAAAAGATAATACTTTACTTCATCAATGAACGCACAACAATTCATATTGATGCACTTTCAATGTTACTGTTGTTTATTGATAGTGAATTTCATTATTTGAAATGATGCATTTTTGGTGTTCTTGTTCATTTTTGATTGAATATTCGAACATATCGCAACATTTTACGACGGCGATGAAGCAATACAACACTCAGCAATACACCCTCACACAAAAATGAACAGAACCAGTTCACGTTGTTCTCTTCAAAACGAAAAAATACCCAATGATTATTCATTTGATTGATACAATTTATCTCCGCCGCCATCATCATCATACACGCATACATACACACATTTATTTATGCACACCATACACCTATTACAATTAAAACTTTATATTTTATTATTATATTTTTCACTTGCACTTCAAACACCCGTCTTTTCCATTAATTACAGACACCGAAACACTCTTCACAAAAACAATGCCCCTTCCACTGCTAATATGTTGTTATTTGGTAAATTCATTTTTGTGAACAATTTTTTGCAGTTTCAACAGTTGTAATAATGAAGAAAATTTGGGCAGCATCAACAAATTTCTCTTAAAACATCTCGTTATTGTACCTTAACTACAGTTTTTTGTTTCTTTCTGAAGTAGAACCTGAAATGAGTTCAACAATTCGGATGCTTGAATCTGGAAGAAATTAATTTGTAAATCAGTTGGGCGATTGTCTTCCAATACGAGTATAATATGTTGTGCATGATAAGCGTCTTCAACGTACAAATCAAACAGCTGATTGAAAAGCAAACCTCTTTATGATGCCGATGATCGGTGATGAGTTATGAAGCGATTTTCACGCATTTTAGAAACTTTTTGTTTGATGATTTCTTTCGATTCACTTTGATTTATGCTTCCATTACTTTCATTTTGTTGCGATTCAATTGAGCGATTTTTTTGATTGATCGCTTCCAACTTTCGAATCGTTTCCATTAAAAATACGCTTTAGTTTGCAACAAATTCGCAGTAACTTTTCCCTTTGAGCAATGCATGCTTTTCGCTGGAAATTTGCTCAGTGATGTGGCCCGCAGTCACTATGGTCAGTGCTCACTGCAATTTTCACATCGGAATTACAGAAGCAGATAAGTATCATCGAATAATGACAGCCTAGCTATGGACAACGATAAATCAAGTGTAAACGCCTCATTCAGTTGTAGCCATGCAAAATTCTGAAGTATTGAATGGATAGATGAGTCATCGCTTTAAAGTGTTACTGCTACTGATTAATATTAATAATTTTTAGATCAGAATTATATATATATATATATA